TGGGGCTTCATTAGACTTCATGAGACTTTGTGGGGCTTCATTAGACTTCATGAGACTTTGTGGGGCTTCATTAGACTTCATTAGACTTCAGGCGTGAAGTCTCTGCTGTTCCCCCCTCGAACTTACTGCAATAATTTTACTTAAAATAACACCAAATGCCGGTTGAACACCTTAACAAAAAATATTTATTTAAAAATAAAAAAACATAAATTTCTTCAGCAAACCTCCATTACAAATACAGGATATACAACCAAATATAATATAAATTAATTCAGGCCGATTCATTTTAAGCATTGCAACAAATGGCGCTGGTCCAGAATACTAAATAAAAATACAAACAAAATTTTTTTTTTTTTTTTTATAATTTTGATGAATATGAGTGTAACAAACACCAAAGACGTGCACAATGTGAATATACATTTAGGTTATCTTACGGATAGAATATAAGGATCTTTCTGTTCAAGAAAGGGTATAGTCGCCTTTGAAGAAAAATGAAATAGATGTGCGAAATATATTTTTAATTAGTATTTAAAAAAGCGTTTATTATTATTATTATTATTATTATTGAATATGTAATACGGATATTTTTCAAACTTTACTTACAAATCACTTCCTTTTTACTATATTGCTTAAAAATTATCACACAGAAATATATTTTTGTTATTTTTTGTGAATAAATTTACCTCCATCTTTTCACTACTTTCATCATCGTTTGTAAGTCCATCTTTTTCATCAACTGATGTTTGATGTTGATTACTTAATGTTCTGGTTCGATCATACGGAGGAGGTTCTAAAAATAAACAGTTACATTTGAATTATTGATATCTTATTAATATTTTTTCAAACCTGTTAAATCTGCGTCTTCTTCTACTTCTTTACCATCAACATTACGTAAATTTTGTGCTTGAACAAGACCATAATAAACACCTTTTGCATCCATTAATGCTTGATGACTTCCTAAAATTTTTATTTGTTCTATTGATTACTTTTTCTGTTTTTCTTTTTACCTTCTTCAACAACGGATCCTTTATTAATAACAATTATTTTTGATGCATTTATAATTGTAGATAAACGATGTGCAATGACAATTGTTGTACGTCCTTTTGATGCACGATCAAGAGCATCTTGAACTACACGTTCACTTTCTGTATCAAGAGCACTCTACTTAATATAAATCAGTCAATTTTTCTTTGTATAATCTTTAATAACTTACAGTTGCTTCGTCAAGTAAAAGTATACGAGGATCGCGAACAAGTGCACGAGCAATAGCTATTTATATTATAGAAAGAAAACATGAAAATGCCGAAAAGGTAAATGTCGAAAAATTATCAAAAAGGCGAATATCGAAAAGAAAAATGTCGAAAAGGCTGACGTCGAAATATAAAATAGTGTGAGAGAAAAATACAAGGGGAAAAAGCGAGACGCCATCTACTTCAAAATGTTTTTGAAGTACAGTGAAGCAGGCCCGTAGCCAGGAATTTCTCAAAGGGGTGCACACCCTCAAGAAAAATAACTTTTTGCTTCGTGGATAAAATTCTCATCTGTAGTCCCCTTCAAGGTTTTTTTCGCCCAAGGGGGTGACCGGGCACCCCATTCCCCCCCCCCCCCCCCCTCCCGGCTACAGGCCTGCAGTGAAGTACAGTGAAGTACAGTGAAGTACGGGTGAAGTACAGCTGAAGTACATTGAAGTATATTGAAGTATCAGTGAAGTACATTGAAGTACATTGAAGTACCAGTGAAGTAGAGTAAAGTAGAAGTGAAGTATGAATGAAGTATAAGTGAAGTAGACTGAAGTATAAGTGAAGTAGAATGAAGTACGAGTGAAGTAACATGAAGTACATGTGAAGTACTAGTGAAGTACCGCTGAAGTACCGATGAAGTACACACTCCTGAAGTCTCGCTTTTTTCTCCTTGGAAAAATATCGAAAGGAAATTGTTGAAAAGGAAAATATCGAATATACTAATAAGTTTTCTCTGAAATATAATGAATTCTTTAATTTGTTAATATTTGAACAACAAGATACGATGTAGTAACTAACTCACATATCAGTTTTTCCTTTTTCCAATCAGTAACGACAGACCTGCTAAAACTTCTTTTGAATTAAGGGTATGGCTGATTTATTTCTATACCCACACCCACACCCAAACCCACACTCACATCTACACCCTCAGCTCTACCACCGTCAGCTAAGACAAAAAACTTCCAAAATCGATCCGATACTCTTAATACAAGATTTCTCACTAAAGAAATCAATGGAAAAGAAGTTTTAGCAGGTCTTTCCTTACTGATTGGAAAAAAGAAAAACTGAAGTATTAATCAATTATTACATTGTTTCTTGTCGTTCTAATATTAACAAATTAAAGAATTCATTGTATTTCAGAGAAAACTTATTGTTATATTCGGTATTTTCCTTTTCGACAATTTCCTTTCGATATTTTTCTCTCATACTATTTTAGATTTCGACGTCAGCCTTTTCAATATGCGCCTTTTTGATAATTTTTTCGACATTTTCCTTTTCAGCCTTTTCGATCAACCCCACTTCTTTTCGTAAATTATTATAATCTTCATACCGATACGTTGTTTTTGACCCTAGAAAAAACAAACAAATAAATACAATTTATTAAATAATTTAAATATTTCATACGCCACTCAACTGTGCACCACGTTCACCAACTAATGTATCATATTTTTCTGGTAATTGCATAATAAAATCATGTGCATTTGCCATTTGTGCTGCTTGTTCAATTTGTTCTTTTGTTGCCTCCATATTACCAAAACGTATATTTTCTTTAATAGTTGTTTGAAATAATATTGGTTCTTGTGACACAATACCAATATGTTGTCGAAGCCAGCGAAGATTATATTGATCAACAGGCGTACCATCAATTGCAACCAAACCACTAATTGGATTATAGAATCTTTGTAATAATTGCATACATGTACTCTAAATAAATGAGTTTTCTTTTTCTATCATTCTCCATAAAATAACAAACTATTTACTTTTCCACAACCAGAAGTACCAACAAGTGCAGTTGTATGTCCATGGTCAGCAGTAAATGTAAGTCCATTATGAACGGGTACGTCAGGTCGAGATGGATAAACAAAATTAACATTTGAAAACTTAATATCACCAATTAAATTTGCTTTTTGAATACCATCAGGATTACTGATATTAATTGTTGATGGCTAAAATAATAAAGATGTTCTTCATAAAAAAACTTATTTGTTTTTCGATTATTTTACTGTATCAATAATTTGCCATAATTCA